ACAGCAATAATATTATACCTGCAAACTACTAAAATTGAGAGCATTATGGCATGTTTTACATTTCCTAACATTTCAGTTCGATAACTGCTTCAAATCCTACAGACTGACGTTGCAGAAACTGTGAAACTTGAAATTCAGTGTTAACTTGAAAGTAAAATGTTTCAAAGAATGAGATTCATAAAGAAAATTAGCGTGGTATTTAAAGTATCCCACTATCAAGTTAAAGAAACATAGGTTAAACTAGGAAGAACCTGAAATTAAAATAACTTAAAAGAAAAAAACATCAGGGAACACTGACCTAAAATCAGCCCGTATTTCACTCAACCACTCACTAAAGAATGTGTGGATGCTTTTTTGTGAATGGAAGCAGATCCCTTAAGAGTCTCCAACAACCAGAAAATGACTCATCCTAAAAACATGCGATTTAATTAAGGTGCTACCAGTATGTGTTGTGACGGAGAGTGATGCTGAATGGTCAATGTTTATCTTCACTTTAGAAATATGATTTACACATTATCACTTAATGTATTATCAATGGCTATTGATAACCTGTAAGATTTATTATTCCCCTATTCTGTTAAACATATTGATTCAAATGATCTCAGCTCAAATATGGGCATTTGACACATAATGATTATGACTGATATCAGCTAAGGACTTGGATTGACTAGAGTCACTGTGACATTGCTGTTACTTCGCAAACTTTTGTTTGCAAAGGTAGATTTTTAAAGGTGTTTTAAAACATATTTGAACAGGAATAGAACTGTTTACAAAAAGACACACAGAGACATAGTAACACAGCTTGTAAAGAGCTAATGCATTTCAGTCCCCATGAAACCATGCCAAAACAAGGTTAGATATGATTCTGAGATATACCAAATCAATAGCACAGCCAAACTAGTTTGATTTTCCAGTAGTTTAGTATCTATCTGCAACTACATCAACAAATTCCGTCATAAATCACAAGGACTAAAATTAGCAGCAACACCCTTTTTTGCATGAGAGCCAGCTTGGAAAAAATAAAGATGTCTATGGGTTCCATTTATTTTTATTCAGAAAGAAAACAAATTTAATGAATTCCACAGGCTTAAGAAATTCCTGCTTCACTGAATAAAATGGCAATGAGAAATGAGCATGACCTTTCTAGGTGGCAAGAGAGGCAGTGTGTTCTAGTCTTTTGTTCTTGTATTCTCCCCTTAAACTTCCCAACAACCCCTTTGCTGCTCAAACTATACAAGGTAGACCAGGGACTAGAATTATTTCAAGTTATTCAATACAACTTTCACAGAAAACGTGCTATGGGCCAGGTGCTAGGGATCCAGCAATGAGTCTGGGGAGGGTTAACGCCAGGCAAGTAGGTAAAGTAGGGACCTGAATCAATGCAACCAGGTTCCCCAAAGACCAAGCTGTCAGTGCACCTTAGTTTCTGGCACCTTCACAATCTACTCTAAAAAAAACTTGATACTACTTCTCCTCTAAAGCATGGCTTTGGCAAGTCCTGGCCTCTGCTAGCCAGGACCTGGCCAAAACACAAGTGTCTAGAAAACAGTTATTACATTATTAGCCTTTTCATTCTACATAGATCCTTCCTTAATGTGCTTGCTTTCACATTTGAGAGGCTATTTAATTCTCTATGTAGGCTACACTATAACGATTAGGAGAGCTAAAGGTACATTTCAGGTATCACCATGAAAATATAAATCCTATAACTTTGGAGTCAAGAGGGTAGAAAGGTTCATAAAACATTTTTGTCAATACTGAGGAAAACCTGGTTTTAGAGTCAAACACTGAGTTACAGCCTGGCTCTCCCTCTGTGAACTTGGGAATATTACTTCTCTGTGCCTCATTTTCCTCGTCTGTAAAATGAGGATAATAATGAAACTCTCCTCCCAAGATTCACTGTGGAGATGAAATAAAATAATATATGTAAAGGGCATGGAACAGTGTCTGGCTCAGAAAAGTGTTCAACAGGCCAGGTGCGGGGTGGCTCACGCCTGTAATCCCAGCACTTTTTAGAGTCTGAAGCGGGCCAATCATCTGAGGTCAGGAGTTCAAGACCAGTCTGGCCAACATGGCAAAACCCCATCTCTACTAAAAATACAAAAATTAGCCAGGTATGATGGTAGTTGCCTGTAATCTCAGCTTCTCGGGAGTCTGAGGGAGGGAGAATTGCTTGAACCCGGGAGGCGGAGATTGCAGTGAGCTGAGATTGTGCCATTGCACTCCAGCCTGGGCAACAGAGCGAAACTCTGTCTCAAAAGAAAGGAAAAGAAAAGTGCTCAACAAATAAAAGCTGTTATTATTAGCTATTCTTAATCTCAGGTGATGATGTAGACATCAAAATATATACAAAAACCTCCCTCAATCTGTAATCCTAGCACTTTGGGAGGCCGAGGCAGGCAGACTACCTGAGCTCAGAAGTTCGAGACCAGCATGGGCAACGTGGCAAAATCTTGTCTCTACTAAAAATACACAACATTAGACGGGCGTGGTGGCAAGTACCTATAGTCCCAGCTACTCATGAGGCTGAGGTAAGAGAATCGCTGGAACCCAAGAGGCCGAGGTTGCAGTGGGCCAAGATCATGCCACCACACTCCAGCCTGGGCAACAGAGCTAGACTCTGTCTCCAAAAAAAAAAGAAAAAAAAAACTGTCTTCCATTTAAGTCAAAAACATGTGAGGTGAAAATTCTGTAAAGATAAATATTTCTACCTTAAAATAGGAAATATACAGTCATATGTACATGCATAAAAACACACAGATCTATTCAACCCGACTGTTAGTTGTCAGCAATATGAAATGTAAAGTAGTAGGATATAAAACTAGTAACCCATTTTATAGAAACCAAAGACCACATACACTAAGAAAAAACTTGGTTATTCAGCAACAAAAGTGGTTAGAAAGATCTTATAAACATATTTAATATTTAATTTAAAGTACCCTATAAAATTTTGTCATGGTATTTCGCAAATTTTTAGCAAACAGAATTTTTTTTTTTTTTTTTTTTGAGACAGCCTTACTCTGTCACCCAGGCTGGAGTGCAGTGGCATCATCTCGGCTCACTGAAACCTCTGCCTCCCACGTTCAAGCGATTCTCGTGCCTCAGCCTCCCGAGTAGTGAGGATAACAGGCGCCCACCACCACACCCAGCTCATTTTTGTATTTTCAGTATGGACAGGGTTACACCATGTTGGCCAGGCTGACCTCAGGTGATCCACCCACCTTGGCCTTCCAAAGTGCTGGGATTACAAGTGTGAGCCACCAGTTTTAAAAAAAGATAAAGTTCAAAATCCTTTTTTCTTTTAAGTAAATACCAAATGCCTCAAAACTCCAAATAAACAGAAACATTTCATAAAAATGATTTCACACACAAAAAAAATCCTGTTGGATTTCAATTCCATAATTATGATTTCTCATTCAAAATAGTTAATCTCATATGACATAGTAAAAATAATTTTATTATCAAAAATTAAGAACAACAGAACTTTTAAAAATGTTTTTGTGAATTCTAACTGATAGCTAGTACCCCTCAAAAAAAATGTTCACTGGAATGCATCACTTACAGTATCATATAGTTTCTATGTTTATTAATGTTATGTGTAATGCAGATGTTCTGAGATCTTCTTGGGGTCACTCTGTCTCAGAATAGAATGTGAATTATTATATAATTTACAGCTGTGTGTAAATTATATAATAATGTCATATCAGACAAAGCCACAAGGACTAGGGGAAGCAATTTTAAGAGCAAAGAGATAAGATCATATCACCATTCCCCCAAAGCAGATTGTATTATATTTCTTTTTGAGTCTTTAAATTACAGTTCTCATCCTGAGATATTAAACTCTACTCTCACAAGAGTATTGAATGTTTACACAGTGCTTTATCATTTTCCCTGTAGAAAATGAAATAACCTAAACATTTTTCTCTGGTGGTCATTATCTTACAATAGGCATAAGCATCTTTCAAAAAACAGTGCTATGTATGAATACAGATTACTCACTACCCTTAAAAAAATTAGAAATACCAGAAAAATAACAATACTCGATTGTTTAGCTAGGAAAAAAAAAACTGAAAAAGTTTAAACAATGTTAAAGAGGAAAGTAAGAAATACTACCATAAAAATTTTTTAAAGGCCCTGAGCAGTGGTTCATGCCTGTAATTTCAGAACTTTGGGAGGCGGTGGTGGGAGAATCGCTTGAGCCCAGGAGGCCAAGATCAGCCTGAGTGATACAGTCAGACTCAATCTCTACCAAAAAAAAAAAAATTAGCCAGGTGTTGCAGCACACGCCTATAGTCCCAGCTACTTGGGGGGCTGAGGTGGGAGGAATAGCTTGACTGCGGGAGGCAGAGGCTGCAGTGAGCCACGATCACACCACCGCACTCCACTCTGGGTGACAGAACAAGACCCTGTCTCAGAAAAAGCAAAAAGATAAGGAGATAATGTTACATCACATAGAAATAGAACAGAAGTGGAAACAAACCTTTCCTCATATTTCCTCATCCAAATGGACAGAGATTTTCCACTCCAATGAAAATATATTCAAAATAGCCCTAAAAAGAGGCGGGGTACACTCAAGCCTGTAATTTCAGTACTTTGGGAGGCCAAGGCGAGCGAAATCACCTGAGGTCAAGGGTTCGAGACCAGCCTGGCCAACATGGTGAAACCCTGTCTCTACTAAAAATACAAAAATTAGGCAGGTGTGGTGATGGGTGCCTGTAATCCCAACTACTTGGGAGGCTGAGGCAGGAGAATCACTTGAACCCAGGAGGCAGAGGTTGCAGTGAGCCCAGATTGTGCCACTGCACTCCAGCCTGGATGACAGAACAAGACTCCATCTCAAAAAAAAAAAAAAAAAAAGAGCCTATGGGAGAGGAGGGGATGCTGACAGCCTCTGCTTCCTCAACACCCTCATCAGCCCTGCTATACCCAGACTGGCTGAGTGCCTAGAAGGCACACTCACCAGGGCACTGCTCACGCCTGGCATGAAATTCCTACCACAGGCTGAAAACATCATGTTTCTGGAGTTGGATGTGTCCCCTCCGGCTGTCTTTGAGATGGAATTCTCTCATGACCAAGAACAAGACCCTCGCGCACTACACATGGAGAGGCTCATGCGGTTGGACAGCTTTCTGGAAAGACCTTCCACGTCTAAAGTCCGAAAGTCCAGATCCTGGTCAGTACCTTCATGGTCCGTGGCAGCACTGGACCCAGGAGGCAGGGAACTGCAGGGGCTGGATGAAGCTAAAGAGGGTTTTGGTGGCACCCTAAGGGCAGGAAGGGCGAGGGGTGACTGGGGATGTCAGAGGGGTTCCTGCAGCAACAGGACAGGACAAAGGAGAGGACTCACAGCTGGCTGTGGTGGGTCACACCTGTAATCCCAGCACTTTGGGAGGCCGAGGCGGATGGACCACCTGAGGTCAGGAGTTCAAGATCAGCCTGGCCAACATGGTGAAACCCTGTCTCTACTAAAAATAAAAAATTAGCTGGGTGTGTGGTGGTGGATACTTGTAATCGTAGCTACTCGGGAGGCTGAGGCAGGAGAATCGCTTGAACCCGGGAGGCGGAGATTGCAGTGAGCCAAGATCACACCACTGCACTCCAACCTCGGCAACAAGAGTGAAACTCGTCTCAAAAAAAAAGAAAGGAGAGGACTCACTTTCCTGTTTCCTGCATTTTTCTAACCTTCCCCTTTGCCTGCCTCATCCTCCTGCAGGTGCCAGAGTCCTCAGCGGCCTCCACCTTCCACCACACATGCCTCCCTGGCCTCTGCTTCTCTGCGCCCTGTGACAGTGGCGGACCATGAGTGACAACTTTCATGTCAGGCTGCCCATCCGATAGACTCCTGGGATGGGGCCGCCACCTCTGGCTCATCTCGTCTGCCGCTTGGTGTGTGTGCGTGTGCGTGCATGTGCGTGTGCGTGTGTGCAGGGGTGAGAATCTGGCAGGCGGTGCCTCTGCCTGCTCTTCTTCCCCTCCTTTATTTAATTCATGTTATTTATTCGCGGAGCTCAGTTCGTGTGGGGGAGATGCCCTCGCCTGAGCTGTCTGGGCCTACCATGGTCACTGTGTAGCCTCCTTTTCTTCTGACCTGAGAGCCCCCCCAGTCATACCTCAGGCTCGTTCCTGTTTCAGCTGCCTTCAGAAGGGAAGGTAGCCAGTGCCTGAGAAGATAGTCCCTTTTCTACCCACTGCACTCCATAACCTCCATCTTCTCCCACAATGATGGTGAGCAGCCCCTGAACACTTTCTGGGACTAGGAAACTGCTTGGTGTTCCCTGAGGACAAGAGACATCCTGACAGTGTTGGCATCTGCTCCCTGTGGACACAGCCCCGCTTTCCACTTTCTGAGCATCAGACAACATCATTCGGCCTCTTTGGCTCCTTTTCAAGGACATTAACAACCTCACCAACATAGCCCATGCCCTTCAGCTTTGACAAGAACTCACAGCTTCCCAAACTCTGCTTTCTGCCCACCTTGGATCGGAATTATGGACCAACCAATTGCCATCACCTTGGAATCGGCAGGAAATGGAACGACAACTGAGACAACTTAAACAGTCATCAATGGAAGTCCCTCCACCAGATCCCTTTGTTTCTGTCCCCTCTGAGAAGTCACATTGGTCAATAGGCCATCAAGGCAACTCCCCATTTTCGAAAGGGTGCTCCCACCTGCTTTGAGCATTTCTCCTGTAGCCGCCTGGACCGCATTCACAGTGGGATGAGTCACTGTCGTTCTACCCCCAGCTAACTGGAGATGCTAACTCTATTGCTTTTTCCCTTCATCTGTCCCAGGAAACAAGCTGAGGCACAATCTTTTCAATAAGCTTTGCCTATTACCCTTGTTTCTGAGTCGCATTTTTCAGGTATTATTTTGTTGAAAATCCTTTATTTACTAGGTATGCAAATTGGTTCCTAGGGGGCTACTCCTTACCTTCCTTTGTGATGGCCCAAATTGTCTCCAGGTATCTCAAGTGATAAGTAAATTTCTACAAAAAAAAAAAATGGTTAACGTTTATTGACTGGCTTTTTAAGTGTATATTTTGGTGGAGGGGTGAAGAGGTAATAAGGAAAGCAAGGGAGTGAGATAGGATTTCAGAGTGCCCGAATAGTGCAAGTCTCCAGTTCCTAGAATATGAAGAGCGCTGTCATTGGGGTGAAGCCGTGAGACTGACAGATCTGCCTGAAACGGGGGGCGTGGGAGCTGGCGGCAGGGTTATTCTCTTTCCTTCAGGAAATGAACCCTTCTTACATCATTCAAGTTCTGCTCTGAGGATCACGCTTGGGTCTGCTTTAACTCCACGACGCTGTCATTTCTGCTTCATTACTGGACTAGAGGGTTGAGCCACCCAGTTGCCATTTGCTCTTGTCCTTCCAGGAAATCACGGTTCTCATCAGAGCCCAAGAGATTATTTGAGACTCGGGATTCAGATCAGAGGTTCGACTGTGGCTGGGACAGGAGTCGTGTGTAGAAATTCCCCAGGTGGCCTGGGCGCGGGGGACCTCCAGGGCTGCATTGCACAGCCTCTCCCACTGACCTCTTTCTCGTTTGTGGACAAAGCAGCACATGTCACCCCATTCATCACTTGGACACATTGCCCCTGCATTGTCCTGTCACTCCTCCCTCACAGTCTTATAGCACAATATACCCGAATCAGCACCCCCAGTCCGAGGGCTGGGCCCAAGGTATGGTTGGAGGAGGAGCTCCTGCCTGCGGTTTTGTGTATGTGTGTATGAGTGTGTGTGTTTGTGTGTGTGTTTACCTCCACAGGAGACACACTACACTCAGTGTAAGATTTGCTGGGAACAGGGCCACTAGGGGTGGCTGGCTCTCAGTCTCTGTCTCTCTTTCTCTCCTTTTCCTTTTGGTGTATCAAACATTTGATTGACGAAGTAAGGGCCTTGATTAGGACCAAATTCCCATGTGTGTTGCTATGGTCTTTATTTAGGACAACAGTTAACAACACAGTGGCCCATTCTTGTCACTCTATACATATGACTATACGGGACATATGTAATATATAAATATATATATATATAAAACATTCCCCTCTGTCCCCTTGGCATAGGATGGGGGCCTCTGTTGAGTTGAAATGCACCTGCAGCTGGGTGCTGCCAGCAGCTTGCAGGCCCCAGCCCTGTTCCAATCAACACATCTGACAATAAAGGAATGAGTATCGTCACGGAGTTGACTGCCTGCCTTCTCTTCCCTTTGTTTCTTTCTACTTTTACTCCCTCCCTTTTTCATTTTCTCCTTTCTCTTCCTTGTTTTTCCACTAGGGGCTCAAGAGTATATCAGCTGGGCCCATTGGTTCACACCTGTAATCCCAGCACTTTGGGAGGCCAAGGCGGGTGAATCACCTGAGGTCAGGAGTTTGAGACCAGCCTGGCCAACATGGTGAAACCCCATCTCTACTAAAAATGCATAAATTAGCCAGGCGTGGTGGCAGGCACCTGTAATCCCAGCTACTTGGGAGGCGGAGGCAGGAGAACTGCTTGAACCTGGGAGGCGGAGTTGGAGTGAGTCGAGATCGCGCCACTGCACTCCAGCCTGGGCAACATGAGTGAAACTCTGTTTCCAAAAAAAGGAGAGACTCTTCTTGGGACCTCTGTTCCCTCCTGCTGGGTTCTCACCACTAGTTCTCTGTAGTGTGGAGGTCTCAGAGGAAATGAAATGTAGTTACTGATAAAGAACCAACACCAAGCCTTGAACCCTGACTCCTAAGGGAGCACTGAGCTTTGTCTGGCGCAAAAAACTGGCAGTAAACCAGCTATTTGGCACTGACAGCTTTCTTGGAGGGATGTCCTGTGTCTGTGCCAGCTTCTCTCCCTGATCTTTAACAGGATTCCAGGGCCGGAGTGGCTCTCCTGCTTCGGGGATGTTTGCTAGGTATTATGTTAGGTGCTTTACACACACACACACACACACACACACACACACTCACACTCTCATGTCATTTCATTCTCCTAGTGAGAGGATTATAGTGACCAATTTAGAGATGGACGTAAGGGAAATTAACCAACGGGCTAAAGACCCAGTTCGTGATGAAGCTGGGCTTGCAGGCTCTAGAACCCATGTTTTCCCCTCTTTGCCACACTACTTCTCTAGCCTGTGTGTACCTCAGGAAAACTGACAGGCACTGTACATGGTTCCCAAGTGGTGACAGCCAGGGACAGGACAGAGTGATTTATCTCCATGGGCAAGGTTGGGCATTAGACCAGATCTGCAGACCCTTGCCTGCAGATCCTATTGTAAAACCACTAATTCCTTTGTCAGCAGTGGGAGCGCCTGTACAGCATGTGGTTTTCCTGAGCCCCACAGAAACAGCCAGATGGTAGACTCTCCCTTGGCCCAGGGCTCTTGGTCTTTTGTTGATAGACAGTTTGTTGACAAAGAAACTGCCATGTTTCACTTCTTCCTCCAAAACTGGACACCTGCTCTCCACAGAGTTTTTTCTTTCTGCTCTCAGAACCTAGAGCTGGGGTGTAGAAAACACTACCTTCTGTCCCCTTGGGGGAGTAGGGTGAGTGTTAGAACTCTTGGCCACAACTAAAGAATTATTTAAGCTGGTCCGACCCAGAAGTGTGCTGTGGCATCCAAGGGCAAGGACAGACCCAGGCCTCAGGAATGACCTAGTACCGGGGACTCAAACACTACGAAGACCCTCTCTGTTTAATCACACTGCCTTCTGTGAGGGGTTCACACTCTGTCTTCAGCTGCTCCAGTTCACGATGTAGGAAATACATCTGTTGGCAGCTCTCCTGTGTACATGATCCAGCCATCTGGAGAGGTTTAGCATCTCAGTCCCAATGCCGAATTCATGGGAATGAGACTCTGATTGAGCAGTTTGGGTCAGGTGGGTGGGAATATGATGTACGAACAAAACCTCCAAGAGTCCCATGGCTGCACCCATGCAGATGGGGGAGGGATGAGGTGGAAATAAAAGTATTTCTCAAAAAAGAGAATGGGAGTGGGAGTGGAGTAGAATGAGCCCTTGGCAGCCAGGACAACAGATGTTCTTCACCAGTGTGTCCATCACCTAGGAATGGCTTTAGAAAATTTTAATCTGGAGCCAGGCATGGTGGCACATGCCTGAAATCCCAGCTACTCGGGAGGCTAAAGGCAGGAGGGTCACTTGAGTCCAGGAATTCAAGATCAGCCTGGGCAACATAACAAGACACCATCTCAAAAAAGAGAGAGAGAAAAAAAATTCAATCTGGGCTCATTCTATTACCCTGGCCATTTTTTGTTTTCCTTTTTTGAGACAGAGTTTCACTCTGTCACCCAGGCTGGAGTGCAGTGGCACAATCTTGGCTCACTGCAACCTACCTTCCCGGGTTCAAGCAATTCTCTGCCTCAGTCTCCCAAATAGCTGGGATTACAGGTGCCCGCCACCACGCCCAGCTAATTTTGTTGTTTTTCTTTTTCATTTTGTTTTGTTTTTGAGATGGAGTCTCACTCTGTCACCCAGGCTGGAGTGCAGTGCTGGGATCTCATCTCACTGCAACCTCCACCTCCCGGGTTCAAGCGATTCTCCTGCCTCAGCCTCCTGAGTAGCTGGGACTACACACACCCACCACCACGCCTGGCTAATTTTTGTTATTTTTAATAGAGATGGGGTTTCAACATATTAGTGAGGCTGGTCTTGAACTCCTGATCTTGTAATCCACCTGCTTTGGCCTCCTAAAGTGCTGAGATTACAGGTATGAGCTACCAAGACCAGCCTGTATTTTTTATTAGTAGAGACGGGGTTTCACCATCTTGTCCAGGCTGGTCTTGACCTCCTGACCTTGTGATCCACCCTCCTTGGCCTCCCAAAGTGCTGGAAATACAGGCGTGAGTCACCTCGCCTGGCCTACCCCAGCCATTTTTCTTACAATGTGGTCCAAGGGTCCTTGCATCAAAATTACCATCCTCGGCCAGGTGCAGTGGCTCACATGTGTAATCCCAGCACTTTGGGAGGCTGAGGTGGGTGGATCACCTGAATTCAGGAATCTGAGACCAGACTGGCCGATGTGGTGAAACCCCCATCTCTGCTAAAAATACAAAAATTAGCCAGGCATGGTAGTAGGTGCCTGTAATCCCAGCTACTCAGGAGGCTGAGGTAGGGGAATTGCTTGAATCCAGGAGACGGAGGTTGCAGTCAGCCTAGATCGCGCTATTGCACTCCAGCCTGGATGACAAGAGTGAAACTCCATCTAAGTAAATAAATAAGTAAATAAATAAATAAATAACCACTCTCAGATTCTGCTTGATCATGTCCAGGATAAACCCACTGGTAGACACTACAGATTGCCTTTCCAATATTCATTCTTCCCTTCTTCCTTGCTTAAAAGATAATTTTGTTCAAGGAAGGCAGTGTGCCCAGGTAGAAATACTCATCTTTTTGATGAATATGACAGCAATGGGTTGCCATGTGACATGGTTTTGGCTAAGGAGATGTAAGTAGAAATCTGCTAGGGATTTCTGGAAAAGTTTTTGCTTTCCTGATATAGACATCAACCTTTTCTCCTCTTCTGCTTTGTTTTTCCAGCCTGAAACTCAAATTCACCTCTTACAAGTGTAGTCGTTCATTCATTCAACAAGTATTTATTGAGCACTTGTTACCTATACATTATAGGTAAAGTTCTAAGTGCTGGGAATATAGCAATGAACAGAAAAGACAATCCCTGGCTGGGTACGGTTGCTCATGCCTGTAATCCCAGCACTTTCAGAGGCTTAGGCAGGTGAATCACTTGAGGCCAGGAGTTCAAGACCAACTTGGCCAACATGGCGAAACCCCATCTTTACTAAAAATACCTCCAAAATTAGCTGGGTGTGCTGGTATGCATCTGTAATCCCAGCTAACTGGGAGGGTTGAGGCAGGAGAATCACTTGAACCCAGGAGGTGGAGGTTGCAGTGAGTCAAGATCGCTGCATTCCAGCCTGAGTGACAGAGTGAAATGGTCTCAAAAAAAAAAGTCCCTGTCCTCATGGTACTACATTCTAGGGTTGGGAGAGAGACTTTAAACAAGAAAACATATTGCATGTTGGATAATAAGTGCTTTTTTGTTTTTCTGACAGTCTTACTCTGTCACCCAGGTTGGGGTGCAGTGGCGCAATCATAGCTCACTGCAGCCTTGAACTTAAATGAGCACCGCCTGGTGATTTTTTTTTTTTTAATTTAATCTCATTCTGTCGCCTAGGATGAAGTGCAGTGACGTGATCTTGGCTCACTGCAATCTCTGCCTCCTGGGTTCAAGCGATTCTCCTGCCTCAGCCTCTCAAGTAGCTGGGACTACAGGTGCCTGCCACCACGCCCAGCTAATTTTTGTATTTTTAGTAGAGCTGGGGTTTGACCATATTGGCCGGGCTGGTCTCGAACTCCTGACCCTGTGATTTGCCCACCTCAGCTTCCCAAAGTGCTGGGATTACAGGCATGAGCCACCATACTGGCCAATTCCTCTTTTTTGAGATGGAGTTTCACTCTTGTTGCACAGGCTGGAGTGCAGCTTCACAATCTTGGATCACTGCAACCTCCACTTCCCTGGTTCAAGGGATTCTCCTACCTCAGCCTCCTGAGTAGCTGGGATTACAGGCATGCATCACCATGCCTGGCTAATTTTTGTATTTTTAAAGTAGAGACAGGGTTTCACAATGTTGATCAGGCTGGTCTCGAACCCCTGACCTCAGGTGATCCACCCGCCTCAGCCTCCCAAAGTGCTGGGATTACAGGTGTCAGCCACCATGCACAGCCTTTGGATAGTTTTATGTTTTGCTATTTAAGATTTGTAATACATGCCTATACAAGGGGGAGAGAGAAGAAATGGGTTTTCAGGAAAGCAATAAAGACAGACATAAATGAAAATGCTATCCTGAGACACCTAGAAAATGGCATTGAGAGGCCAGGTGCGGTGGCTCATGCCTGTAATCCCAGCAATTTGAGAGGCTGAGAGGGGCCAACACATGAGCCCAGGAGTTCAAGACCAGCCTGGCCAACATGGTAAGACCCCCATCTCTATAAAAACATAAAAGCAAATTAGCCAGACAGGGTGGCACATATGCCTCTGGTCCCACAGGATTGAGCCACCACACTCTAGCCTGGGCGATAGAGCAAGACCCTGTGAAAGAAAGGAAGAAATAAAGAAAACAGTATTCAGAAAGGAAACATGCAGGGAGAAATGCAGTCTCTGAGAGACTGAGAAGAGGCTCAGCAGGAGGCCCACTGTGCTCCACAGACCTCCAGGGCCCCAGCAGGAAAGCAAGTTAAAACTGAACTTGGAATCAGTCCTCTTGGCTGGTGGAAAAATTTCAATGTCATCTCTGCAAAGAAAAATCAGATTTTCTGCTTTTATTATTATTTCATTTTTGAAACTTGTGCTGAAACAATGGTTTATTTCCTTGGATGAGATGACTCGTGTTTGAGATATTTTCTTCCACACCTAACCAGCATAATCAGTTGAGCAGTGTGACAGCTCTCTTTGATGTGCGAAGCTGGCTGCTTGGCTCATCTTTGCTATTGCAGAGATCAGGGCTGTCATCTGCCAGTTTTGACAATTTACAGGTGTTTATGGCCCTTTCCCTTGTCAAATTAAACCCATATGTTGATTGCCTTTGGTTGCAGTAGGGATGAAATACTGTGGAAACAATAAAAACACTTCCAAGAAATAGACTTCAAGGAATAACTTGCTTATTGCCCTCAGTGCACTAGGATGAGTTTCATGTCACTACCAGCACTCACAATTCACCTCTCCCAGCAACCAGAGCCCCTAGAGACCAACCAACCCCTTCCGCCTCCCAGGAGGATTGCCGAGCTCTGGAGCCACCCCCACTCAATTTGCTTTACAAAGGGAAAATAATTCTTAGCAAGCTGTTGGAAACCTGCATTGTACCCCAAAAAAAGGGAAGGGGTAGGAGTGCAATATTTAATAAGTGAGCTGGAGAGTGGAGGGGAATATTATATCCAAAAAAATTCAAGTAACACAGGCACACCCACCCTCCCACACATATACAAAACCACTGTTACCAACAAGACAATGGAATCCAGTTTGGAGAATAATTTACAATATTCTTTGCTTTATCAGTAAAGTGAAGGATTATAATCATGCATCTCAGAAAGGAAGGGGACTTCATGATTCCTTCGATGACTGTTAGCTGAATGCCCACAATGTGCAAGACATTATGCGAAGTGTCGTTGTCATTAGCAAGTCCTCACTGCTGCATAACTGACCATTTCTCACCGTATCCATTGCTACTTCCCCTCCCCAGGATATTGCAAGACCTCCTGACTGGTCTCTCCGTTTCTAGTTGCTTTCCCTTACACCCTGCCACCCTCACCACCACCATCCTCCATGGTACTCTCCACACCATAGCCAAAAAGATATTTAAGAGCAAATAATTCATATTTAAAATGTAAAATAGCCAGGCACAGTGGCTCACGCCTGTAATCCCAGCACTTTAGGAGGCCGAGGTGGGCAGATCACCTGAGGTTGGGAGTTTGAGGCCAGCCTGACCAACATGGAGAAGCCCTGTCTCTACTGAAAAATACAAAATTAGCCGGATGTGGTGGCGCATGTCTGTAATCCCAGCTACTCGGGGAGCTGAGGTAGGAGAATCGCTTGAACCCGGGAGGCAGAGGTTGCGGTGAGCCATGATTGTGCCATTGCACTCTAGCCTGGGCGACAAGGGTGAAACTCCATCTCAAAAAAAAAAAAAAAAGTAAAATAAAGGCTCATGCCTGTAATTCCAGCACTTTGAGAGACTGAGGCAGGCGGATCACTTGAGGCCAGGAGTTGGAAACCAGCCAAGCCAACACGGCGAAACCCTGTCTCTGCAAAACATACAAAATTAGCCAGGCATAGTGATGGGTGTGAAGAGGGAGACCCAGGCATCTCAGCTCAACTTCCCCTTTGACTATCACGCTGGATTTCAAAAGAAGAAAAGGCTGACTGACTGGTGCCTCCTGTTTTACCTTCCCGTAGGTGGCAGGCTTGGTCTTGGGGAAACTCTCCAGAAGGCACTATTTTTACTTAAAACAAGATCAAACCAGAAACCTTTTCACTTGAGTCTGAAAACTGTGAACCAGAACCCTTTCATATGTGATTCCTGAAGCTGTAAACCGAGACCTTTTTTATGTTATTTCTAAAGCTATAAACCTAAGATTCTTCCACGTGTAATATCTAAAGTATAATAAGCCTATATAAAGGCAGAACCTTCCTTTGTTAGATGAGCTGAGCTTTGGACAAATTATGCTCAGGCTCCCGGCCGAATAAACTTCTTCCTTCTCCATTGGGCGTTCGAGAGATCCGTTTCCCGCGGCTGCTCCTGCTACAGGTGCCTGTAACCCAGATATTCAGGAGGTTAAGGCAGGAGAATCACTTGAACCAGAGAGGTGGAGGTTGCAGTGAGCTGACATTGCACCATTGTACTCCAGCCTGGGTAACAAGAGCAAAAGTTGGTTTCAAAAAATAAAATCAAAAACAAAACTCTGCAGCTGTCCTGGCACTTTGAATGTCTTATTTTGTTTCTTAAAACAAAAAGCACAAACTGTGCTGCTTTTCTGCTTAGGGCCTTTGCACTTGCTATGTCATTTTTTTTTTTTTTTTTTTTTTGTTGCCAGGCTGGAGTACAATGGCAAACTCTTGGCTCACCACAAACTCCACCTGCAGGGTTCAAGTGATTCTCTTGCCTCAGCCTCCCAAGTAGCTGAGATTACAGGAGCGAGGCACCATGCCCAGTTAATTTTTGCATTTTTAGTAGAGACGGGGTTTCGCCACGTTGGTCAGGCTGGTCTCAAACTCCTGACCTAGTGATCTGCCCGCCTCGGCCTCCCAAAGTGCTGGGATTACAGATGAGAGACACCATGCTTGGCCTCTTTTTTTTTTTTTTGAAACTGAGTCTTGCTCTGTTGCCCGGGCTGGAGTGCTGTGAGGTGATCTCAGCTCACTGCAACCTCCACCTCCCAGGTTCAAGCAATTCCTGTGCCTTAGCCTCCCAAGTAGCTGGAATTACAGGCACCCACCACACCTGGCTAAATTTTTGTATTTTTAGTAAAGACAGGGTTTCACTATATTGGTCAGGCTGGTCTGGAACTCCTGACCTTGTGATCTGCCTGCCTTGGCCTCCCAGTGTGCTGGGATTACAGATGTGAGCCACTGGGCCTGGCTTTTTTTTTTTTTTTTTTTCCCAAGACAGAGTCTTGCTTTGTCACCCAGGCTGGAGTGCAGTGGCACAATCTCAGTTCACAACCTCCCCTTCCCTGGTTCAAGTGATTCTCCTGCTTCAACCTCCTGAGTAGCTGGGACTAGAGGTGTGCACTACCACACCCAGCTAATTTTTGTATTTTTAGTAGAGATGAGGTTTTGCCATGTTAGCCAGGCTGGTCTTGAACTCCTGGCCTCAGGTGATCTGGCTGCCTCAGCCTCCCAGTGTGCTGGGATTACAGGCATGGGCCACTGCACCTACCCACTTGATATGTTCTTTTCATAGAATGGCCATCCCCCAGATTTTTAGGTGGCCTGCTCATATCAAATGTCACCTTCTCCGAGAGTCTTTCCCTGGCTACCCAACCTAAAGTAGCCCCCCACCACCAGATGACTTCCTATTCTGTTACCCTATTTGATTTTCCGAAAGCATAGCACTTACCAGTGTCTGAAGGTATTTTACTTCCTTGATTGTTTACCTTAGTAGCTCTTAATGTTTGGTCCCGGGACCAGCAGTATTAGCATCACCGGGAACTAGTTCTAACTGCATATTCTCAGGCCCTACTCTAGACCTTTTGAATCAGAAATTGTGAGCATAGGATCCAAAGATCTGTATGTAGCAACTTGATTTTGACAAAAATTAAATTTGGCAACCACTGGCACTCTTAGTCCATCTTCTGCTGCAACATCAGAATACCACAGACTAGGTAATTCATAAACAACGGATGTTTACGTGGCTCACAGTTCTAGAGACCGGGAAGTCCAGAAGCATGGCACTGGTATTTGAAGAGGGTCACCCCATGGCAGAAGGCAGAAGGCAGAAGGGCAAGTGAACATGCAAAACACACAGTGTAGAAATTGGGCCAAACTTTTCCTTTTTATCGAGTCCACTCTCATGATAAGTAACCTACCTACTCAATAATAGCATTCATTCATTCATGAGGGGAGAGCACTCATGGCCTGATAATCACCTCTGAAAGGCCCCACCTCTGAATAGTGTTACAATAATAATTAACTTTTCAACACATGAACTTTTGGAGGACACATTCAAACCGTTGCACTGGTTTACAGTGATTATTTCTCCTCTCTCTCAAGCCTGTCCTAGAATGTAAACTCCAAGAAAATGGAAGTTCATCTGTCTTGTTCAGTACAGTACCTCTAGCACCACACATAGCAGGCACTCAATAAACAGTTGTATGGTGGAAGATTGAGAGATTGATGAATGACTGAGCAACTGCTCTGGGATCTGTGTCTCTGGAGCCACGTCCGGGAAGGCCTAGCAGATGGTCCAATAAAACTGAGTCCCAGGGACCTGTCTGCCATCTTTCCACCACAGTCTGGCTATGTTGCTCAGGATGGAGTACAATGGTTGTTGACAGGCACAATCATAGTGCACTAAAGCCTCAAACTTGAACTCCTGGGCTCAAGCAATCCTCCCACCTTAGCCTGTGAAATGTCAGAGACTAGGCCAGGTGTGGTGGCTCACACCTGTAATCCCAGCACTTTGGGAGGCCAAGGCGGGTGGATCACCTGAGGTCAGGAGTTTGAGATCAGCCTGGCAAACATGGTAAACACTTTCTCTACTCAACATAAAAAAATCTGTTAGGTGCGGTGGTTCACACCTGTAATCCCAGCTACTCAGGAGGCTGAGGCAGGAGAATCACTTGAATCTGGGAGGTGGAGGTTGCAGCGAGCCGAGATGGTACCACTGCACTCCAGCCTGGATGACAGAATGAGACTCTGCCTCAAAAAAAAAAAAAGCAGAGACGACAGGCTTGTGCCACTGCACCTGGCCCCACCAGAGCTTTTATCTGTGTAACAGAATTTCCAGGCGGATAAAACTGAGGAAGGGGTTCTGAGGTAAAAGAATCACTTGAAAACTATGATTTGAACTGTTATTAATTACAGTCTGGAAACTGCAAGCACATTCCAAGGTCCTCCTCAGAGAACCAGAAGGTTTGTGGATCATATTCAATTAGAGGATGAGGACAATGCTTTTTGCTTTTAAATTCTGTACCGCTCTTACGACATTAATCCCAGAGCGACTGCTGACTAAGTGGCTTTCTCTTTCTCAGTCTTTCTGCTTTATATCAATCCTGGGATCTTAAAAAAGAAAAAAACAAAAACAAAAACACCACCTCTAAACCAATTAATTCTGCCTCCAGTGGCTTCTTAAAGCAAAAGATTGAAAACATTTGATCAGCTCCCAGCTCAAATGGGGAAAGTGGAGAGGACATTATCTTTGCAAAAGACAGTGAACTTTAGGAAAGGATAAATGAACACCAAGAACTATGGAAGAGGCCTTGGGAGCCCCTCCTTAGAAATAATATGCTGGCTTGAAGCAAATCATGTGGGCCAGGCACCATGCTAGGTACTGAGGTTCTCAGAGGCCACAAGAATATGGTTCAAGTCTTCACAGAGCTCACAATCTGGAGAACAGACAACCATGTAGAGAAATACCCAGCGCAGAGTGCAGAGTGTTAGTGCTGTAGGGATGACTAACTCCTGAGTGTTGCCAGGGAAAGATTGCTGGAGGAAGCGATATTTGAACAGATCTAGAAGACTGTGTCTTGTCACTTACGCACAAAAACAACAACAATCTAGGCAGAAGGGATGACACATAGAAAAACACAGGGATGTAAAAGGGTAAGAATGGGTTTGAAACTAGGTAAGAGAAGTGAAGAATTTATATACACACATTAGGACAATTTGAATACTGACTGGCTACTTCATGAGACTAAGAAATTGTTAGCTTTGAAAGGTATGTTAATGCCATTGTGGTTATGTTGTAAAAGAGTCCTTATCTTTTGGAGACACACACTGAAATATTATTTCTGGGTAAAACGATGATATCTGGAATTTGCTTCAATATAATATGGAGGGGGGCCGGGAGCAGTGGCTCACGCCTGTAAACCCAGCACTTTGAGAGGCTTAGGCAGGCAGATCACCTGAGGTCAGGAGTTTGAGACCAGCCTGGCCAACGTGGTGAACCCCCGTCTCTACTAAAAATACAAAATTAGCCAGGCATGGTGATGTGTGCCTGTACTCCCAGCTACTTGGGAGGCTGAGGCAGAGAATCACCTGAGCCCAAAAGGCAGAGGTTACAGTGAGCCGAGATTGCACCAGTGTACTCCAGCATGGGCAACATAGTGAGACTTCATCTCAAAAAATAAAATACATATACATACACAGATATATATATATGTATATATATATAATATGGAGGGGTTGGGGAGGGCTGTGATTAAAAATAAAATCAGGGTGGTCATGAATTATGAATACTTGTTGAAACTGGGTAAAGATACATGGGAGGTCATTATATTGTTTTTTTTTGAGACAGAGTCTCACTCTGTTGCCCAGGCTGGAGTGCAGTGGCTCAGTCTTAGCTCACTGCAATCTCTGCTTCCCAGGTTCAAACGAATCTCCTGCTTCAACATTCCAAGTAACCGAGACTACAAGCGTGCGCCACCACGCCCTGCTAATTTCTGTATTTTTATTAGAGATGGGGTTTCACCATGTTTGCCAGGCTGATCTCGAACTTCTGACCTCAGGTGATCTGGCAACCTCAGCCTCTGAAAGTGTTGGGGTTACAGGTGTGAGCCACTGCATCCAGCCCATTATACTATTTTTTTATACTTCTGTATATATTTGGGACATTTTTTTTTTTTGAGATGGAGTCTTGCTCTGCTGCCCAGCTGAAGTGCAGTGGCATGATCTCAGGTCACTGCAACCTCCGCCTCCCAGGCTCAAGCAATTCTCCTGCCTCAGCCTCCCAAGTAGCTGGGACTACAGGTGCCTGCCACCATGCCCAGCTAATTTTTGTATTTTTAGTAGAGATGGGGTTTCACCATGTTGGCCAGGATGGTCTTGATTTCTTGATCTGCCTGCCTCAGCCTCCCAAAGTGCTGGGATTACAGGCATGAGCCACCACACCCAGCTATATTTGGAACTTTAGCTGTATTATTTTTAAATTAAAAGAAACTTTAATGTTTTGGTAGAACTACATTCTGCTTTTTAGCATTGCAAATCTAGCAAGCAAACTGAGGTGTGCTGGCTGGGTGCAGTGGCTCATGCCTGTAATCCCAGCATTCTGGGGGGCTGAAACAGGTGGATCACTTGAGGTCAAGAGTTTGAGACCAGCCTGGCCAACACAGTGAAACCCTGTCTCTACTAAAAATAAAAAATAAATTAGCCGGGCCCGGTGGCACAAGCCTGTAGTTCTACTATCTGCTAAGGAGGCTGAGGAAGGAAAACCGCTGGAACCTGGGAGATGGAGGTTGCAGTGAGTCAACATAGCACCACTGCAATCCAGCCTAGGTGACAGAGTGAGACTCTGTCTAAAAAAAAATTTTTTTTTTAAAGCCACAAAAAACCAAATTGAGGTGTACTATGATTGTAAAACACACACTAGATTTCAAAATACATATATAGAAAAATATTGCAAAACATCTCACTAATAATGTTTAACATTGTTGACATTGGGTTATATATATTGGGTTAAGGAAAATATATTATTAAAATTGATTTCAGGCTGGGTGCCTGAAAAAAAATTTTTTTTTCAGATGGAGTCTTGCTCTTTTGCCCAGGCTAGAGCACAGTGGCACAATCTCGGCTCACTGCAACCTCTGCCACCTGGGGTCAAGTCATTCTCCTGTTCAGCCTCCCAACTAGCTTAGATTACAGGTGTGCACCACCACACCCAGCTAATTTTTCTTTTTCATCTTTTCAGTAGAGACTGGGTTTCACCATGTTGGTCAGGCTGGCCTCGAACTCCTGACCTTGTGATCTGCTTGTCTCGGCCTCCCAAAGTGCTGGGATTATAGGTGTGAGCCACCGTGCCTGGCCAGTTTCACCTGTTTCTTTTTTTAACGCAGCTACTAAAAACTTAAACTTACATAGGTGATTTGCATTATATTTTTTTCTTTCTTTTTCTTTTTTTTATAGACAGGGTCTCTATTACCCAGGCTGGAGTGCAGTGATGCCATCATGGCTCACTGCAGCATCAAACTCCTGAGCTCAAGCAATCTTCCCATCTCAGCTTCCTGAGTAGCTGGGACAATAGGCAGGTGCCACCATGCCCAGCTAATTTATTTTTAGTAGAGATGGGGGCTTGCTATGTTGCCTAGGCTGGTCTTGAACTCCTGGGCTCAAGTGATCCTCCTATATTGGCCTTTCAAAGTGCTGGTATTACAGGTGTGAGACACTGTGACCAGCCTTGTATTATATTTCTACTGGACAATGCTGAGCTAGACAGAGAGGAGGGTAGTGACAAAATGGAAGCAGCGTTTGAAGAGGAACAGTCTTACACTAGTGTGCAAGGTGGATTTGGTTAGGGAGGAAACTAGAGAGAGGGAGCCCAGATTATCAGCCTACAGGATTAGTGGGACACGGATGCAAATCTGACTAATTTCTGCGCCACCATGATTGTTGGACCTTCCCCAGTCATATGGAACTCTATGTACAATTAAATCTCTTTCATTTGTATTTTACCCAGTCTCGGGTATGCCTTTGTCAGCAGCGTGAAAACAAACTAATACAATCAACTTTTCAATTTCATGTATGGGAAAGGAGAACAAAATACCAAAACGTTAACTGTAGTGGTTTTTGAGTTGTGAGCTACAGGTAATTTCTATTTTCATTTATTAACTTCTCTGCACATTCTCAATTTTCTACAATAATCATAATTAGGGAGGAGTGATTTGTTTAAAGGATTTCCCTGAGATAGCAAAGTACAAACCCAAAGGAATGAATCTTTGTTGTTGAAATTGTAGGCACTATGGTAAGCTTGGGGGTGGGGATATGCCTGGCATCTCTCAAAGCACACAACACAGGCCACTGCCAGTCCAGTCCTCCTACGTGTACAACTGGCTTTGGCATCCAGACTTCAAAACTGAGATGCAGCCACTACAGCAAGTGTGACTTAAGGCTACATATGTTAGGGAGGCATGCCTGTGTTTTACCCCATTAATACTCAGTGAATAGATGATCTTTTAATCTCAGGAGGGTGCAAGGAAAGCGTTCATTGCAGCGTGCTTTCAATAGCGAGAGATTTAAAATAACCAAAGTGTCCATCATAGAGAATATAATCTCCAAAATTTAGATCTAAAAAAAAAGGAATTTTATGGTACCTTCATCTTCTTAGTTAAGATTAATGTGCATGAATAGTGTATACCTTAGGAGAAACAAGACAGCCATTGAAACTCAAAGATGTGAAGTGGTCATTCAGGAAAGGGAGGCTGATACTTGAACGCCATTCACACCTACCTTGCTATTGGGTCCAAGACCCGATAGGTGTGAACATGTTCAAATATCATTCTTGGAGCTGAATATAACACTGGAGAATTCGCCACCAAGCATGAAGCAGGATAATATTGCTAAGTAGTTAGTTCTGAAAAGTGAATTAACTCATAGATCCTAAGAATATTCTAAAAAATAACTGCTGTATAATGTATGGAAATAAAGTTATAGTAACTAATCAACAAGATCTACTGAAGAGATCAAATATCCTATTTTTTGATAATGGAACATTGACATAATGTTTTTATTTGACTTTTAAAAAATCAGACTGGGTGCAGTGCTTCATGCCTGTAATCCCAGCACTTTGGGAGGCTGAGGCCGGTGGATCACTTGAGGTCAGGAATTCGAGACCAGGCTGGCCAACATGGTGTAACCCCATCTCTTCTAAAAATACAAAAATTAGCTGGGCATGTGACAGGCACTTGTAATCCCAGCTACTGGGGAGGCTGAAGCAGGAGAATAACTTGAATCTGGGAGGCAGAGGTTGCAGTGAGCCAAGATTGCACCACTGCACTCCAGCCTGGGTGACAGAGTGAGACTCAGTCTCAAAAAAAAAAAAAAAAAAAAAAAATCAGCTTTCTGGGCAATAAGCTTTACCACCCAAATAACTGTTTGGGGGTTACTAGAACTGAAAAAAACTCTAAGGAACTTAATCCCAGACAAGTTTCACATAGAGACAAAGAAACCATTTGATTTGTTTAACTGTCACTAACTTCACAAATACCATTTTTTAATTGTTAAAAAGAAGTTTATAGATGCTCCAAATGGAACTCTATGAATATGTAATATGTACGTCTACTTAATAACACATACTAGAAGATTGTAAACCTTTAGTAGAGCCAAGATGCAGTTTAAATAAAGCAGAATTTGGTAGACTCAAAGTAAAGCTTAGCTATGTGTCAGGGAGTCAATGTCCAGCCTGGACTGCAAAGTAGACTCGGAATCATTTGGTTCGGAAACAATAGAGTTAAGGCAGGTATACAATCTACGTCCAGAAACCCCCACCTAAAGCACTGCACCTGGGTCGTCAACTGGGGCTGCTTCATTTATACAGATGTAATTGCAAACCCCAAAGTTTGCATCACTTCAGCCGCTCAACTGGAAGACAAGCTCCGTGCGGCTACTGAAGCGTCAACCGCCTCTTTAGCCTCCCTCCAGCGACAAATCACATCACTGGCTCAGGTAACTCTCCAGAACCGACAGGCCCTGGACCTACTAATGGCAGAAAAATGAGGTACCTGTCTGTTTCTCTAGGACACAGTGCTGCTATTGCATCAATGAAATAGGCCTTGTGGAAGAAAATGTCAACACTCTCTATCATCTCCAAGAGAACCTCCGCAGGAAGCAGAGTGCACCAGCCTCATCTCTCAACTGGCGGCAATCCCCCATGCTTACCTGGCTAGCTCCCATTATCACCCCCGTTATTGTTGTGTGTCTTCTACTAATGCTAGCCCCATTTTTCCTCAGATTTTTACAGGCCTGCATAATGGAAATTTCCAGGGTGGCCATAAACCAGATGCTACTTCACCCCTGTGTCCAACTCGCAACTGAGGCACCAGCCAACTGACCCCTTTCCCCCACTCTGCCCCTATTCAGCAGGAGGTAGCCAGAAAGAAGCGGCGTCCTGTATCATCAAAAGGGTTGGAATGTAAGGCCGGCTGCCTTACCGGGAGCTCGGGCATGCCCATCCCTCTCCATGCCTGAAAATTATGTCACCAGAATCTGCACTCAACACATGCCCACCTCTGCACTCCGCACCAGACTCTGCACTTGGCACCAATACCCATCTCTGCACTCCACACCAGAGTCTGCACTCAACACTAAACTCTGCACTCAGCACCTAGCCAGCCATTGGAAAACCCCACCAAAATTTAAAAGAAGCCCTGCCGAAACCTGCCCAATAGCATTTTGCCCCATCCAGCCCGCTCACCGGAAATCCCGCCTACCTACCAATAACTGCTTGCCCCATCCATGTCTTGTTTCTCCACAGCCAATCAGAATGCCTTCCCTCCCTATAAAACCCCACACCTGAGAGAAGTCAGGCGCAACTTCCCTGGCCCCTTTCCCTGGGACCATGGAACCTCGCCTGGGAGTTAAATAAATTGGTGTTTAATTTTCTTATGCTGGCCTCAGTTTCCTCATTTTAAACTTGGCAATAAACCTTGTAAGAATAAACCTACACTAAGTACCTTCAGTGTTCTAAATAATAAACCAGTCTTACAGCCAAGGAGTTTAAAAATACAAGAATTTCTTCCAGCCATTTTTATCATCCATCCCAAGTAAATCAATGTATTTATGTGCACGAATGTGATGTCTGGAGAAATACAGGATTACCACTAAGTCATTGGCTCCATTTTTATTATAATTTGTACTCTTTTTTTGCAAGCTAGGTTTCTCTCCCACACACTAGGCTTATACGTACACTGTTTAATCCAGTAGTCACTAGTTACAGGTGGCTATTTAGTTAAAATACAATAAAATTTAAAATTCAATCCCTCAGTCACACTAGCCACACTTCTAGAGCTCAAAAGCCATAAGGGGCTAGTGGCTACAATACTAAACAGTGCAGATACAGAACATTTTTGTCACAAGTTCTACTGGGCAGCACTGACCACACAATCATGAAAGAACCTTAGAAAAACCTCTTACTTAGCAAATAAAATTTAAAATTCAGTCCCTCAGTTGCACTAGCCACATTTCAATGGCTCAAAATCCACACAGGGCTACTGGCTATGTTACTGGACAATGCAGATACAGAACATTTTCATCACAGGAAGAAGTTCTACTGGACAGCTCTGGCGACACAATCATAAAAGGACCTGAGAAAACCTCACTTACTTTTTAGCTCCTCGTGCTCCTCTGCTGTTTAAAGGTTGTGGGTCCCGAAGTCTAGCAAATCACAAGCAGATGAGTGAGTGCCAGGGACCTCTGAACCTCGACCACAAAAAGACGAATTCCCCTATGCCCAGAAGAAACGAAACTCTCCCGGGGCAACCACCTCAAACTGAAGAAGGCAACACTTTTTAGGAAAACTGTGCTGTCCTATCTTCCAGTAGTGCAAAGGCGGGTAACAATACGAGAGCCTTTGTCCTCCCCATTCTCAAAGCCCTGTCCGAGGCTCTAAAAAAGAGGCCAAAAGAAAAGACAACGAATATGAGAGACACTGGGGATGTAAAGAAATAGAAACTAATGGCAATGTGGCGAGGAATTAAATCCAAGGAGGTGGGGAACAGGCAGCAGAACGTGGGTAAAGAAAAAGGGAACAGGTGATCTGATCTAGAAGGGTGGGGCCTACGATAGCCTCTGATAAAACCAACTCTGCGCATGGGACAAAAGCGAGAGACTGCGTGTTCTGTGCTCAACAGCGCTACCTCTAAAGCATGACGGTCAAACCAAGAAACTCAGGGGTACAGCGCCTAGTCTGGAAGACATCACTCCCTCTCCACGCCTAACAATTTCGCCAAAGGACTCCGGCCAGACCAACGCCACTTCCGCTCTCCTCGCCTATCCCGGATGTGGGCTCGGCCCCCACCTAGCCCTCTTCTGAAAGTCCACTTCTGCCTGGCAGCTTCCGAGGGGGCTGCAGCTGGAGCAAGTCACGTGATGAGTAACCCTTTGATTCCTGAGACTCGGCCTCACTGGGGATTGTGACAAAGAACCTGGGAACCTGTGGATGGGGTCTGAAATGAAGGGGCGGAGCTTGGAGCCTCTGCCCGGCCTTAAAACCCTGCTCTCATTCCGAGCCTTTGCACAACTCCTCGTGTCCCACCACCCTGCCTTCCCTACCCACCCACCCAGTGGCCTCAGTCTAGATGCACAGGGAGATCAGTTATTGCCACTTTATTAGAGAATGAATCTCACATGCCACCCCCTGTAGAGAGACATGGAAGCCTTTCCAGGCTGGGGGTGCAGAAACTGGAGGCAATGGCTGAACAGGAAAAAAGGCTGGAAAGGGCAGCACGGTGAAGACTTCTCTCCATGGGACTGTGTTGATTTCTTTGAGATGGACTGCGAAATCTTCTATCTGAAGGACTGTGACGGCTCCTCTCCGAGGGACCGCAGTGGCTCCTCTTGGAGGGACTACGATGGTTTCTCCAACAGCGGTTATGACCGGTTCTCTCAGGACTGTGTGGGGTTCTGTCCCTATAGAAGCTGGGGTGGTTTTGCTCCTCGTGTGTGAGTTTCTCTTTAAGGGGACGGTGCCAGGTTCTCTTCACAGGGGAACAATGTAGCATTCTTCCTCGGGCCTGAACTCTGGTTCCTGGTGTGGGCAAGTTCTTAGACTCATGGCTAAAGATTTCATTTTTCTTTGATCTGCTACTCCTGTCCTTTTGGACAGTTCCCAAAAGCTGCTCCACTGAGGCAGCTTGGAAAGTGCTATCACTTTGGGAACCTGTGGGCTTGGGAAGTTGAAGAGGTCTGGGTTGGAAAGGGTGAGCTCTTCTTGGCTGTTGAGCTGATCTGCACTGGTCTCTTCCTTCCCCCAATATGTCCTCCTGCTTAATGGTTGAGCCTGCTGACTTTGGCTTGTCAGCTGACCTCCTGTCTCTTTTGTGATTTCTGGGTATGCAATAGTCCCTGCCATTTTGTTTCAGATAATAGTTTTTGCTTGCCCACACATTGTCTGGGATTGTCCTGTCCACAGGCTTCTGCCCAGCAAAAGCTATAACTCTGTATGCTGTTTGGAATGCCCGCTGTAGGCCCTGAAAAAGCAGTTGCATGAACTTGGGTTGGGAAGGTTTCTTAGGTTGTCTTTTTAAGAAGGCAGTACTTGTCTGAGCTGCTCCAATCGTCTTCCTTCTTAAATGGGCTTGTAATTCCCTAGAGGGTCTCTCTTTTGTGGTTCTACTGCTTGTGTAGAACTTTCTGTGTTTTCTAAGGCCCTTGGTCATTCTCTTCATTGGATATTTTGAACCAGAGGTCTTTTTGGTTCTCACTTTAGCCCGTTTCTCATTCTGAGTGATTTCAGAGTCACTCTCTGATAGGGTGTGAACCTGAATGGATTCATAGTGTCTACATGCTCTAATTATTGTCTTTTCTTCCAGGTCAGGGCTGCTGTGTTGTCTTCCTCTGATGTCGATTAGTACAGGAGCAGGGGACTGGGAGGACCCAGACTGCAAATCTGCTGTGGAAGTAGAACTCCTGGAAGCTTGAGTATGAATTTTAGCCTTCCTTTGTGTGCAAGGTTGCACATCTTGCAGTTTTGGAGTCAACTCAATATATTGTACCACTTGAGGGGTGGGCCTTGGCGTTGTCCTAGACTTTACAACTTGAAATGGTGGTCCAGGGGTCGCTTTCTCAGACTGAACAACTTTTTCTTGCTGCAGAGACACTGAAGACAATTTCACATGTTTTACACTTTGCAACTTTGACTCTAGAGTAAACTCCAAAGATTTCATGGCTTGATGCTGTGATTCTGGAGACAAATTTGAAAATCTGACACTAGCCAACATTGGTCCTGATGAGAACTTCCTAGTTGGCTCTGGTGCCAGCACCATTGATTTCACATCTTGCCATCCTGAAGTCAACTCCTGATAATTTATACCTTGCTGTTGGGCCCCTGGCGTCAGCTCCATAGGTTTTACATCTTGAAAACATAGCTTCGGTGCAAAGGCCACAGATTTAATGCATTGTGACCTAAAGCATGATGTCAAAGAATTTACACTTTGAGGTTGTGGCCATAGAGTTGGCTTCACAGATTTCACATCTCGAGAAAGTGGCTCTGATACAAATAGCATAGATCTTACATTATGCTGCCTGAGGTGTGAATGCACCTCCTCAGAATTCATACCTTGAGGATATGGTTCTGGTTTTAACTCCACGGATTTCACACCTTGAGGATATGGTTCTGGTTTTAACTCCACGGATTTCATACATGGAGGATATGGTTCTGGTTTTAACTCCACAGATTTTGCCTTTTGGAAACATGGCTCTAGCGTAAATACCTCATATTTTAAGTCCGGTAGCTCAGAGGCTGAAATCATTTTTGCAGAATTTGCATCATAAAGCAATGGCTGCTTATTTATGTCCACAGATTTTACAACTTTAAGCAGTGGATCTGGTAAAAATACCTCAGATTTTGTACCATTTATCTGAGGACCCAGAGTGAATGCAGGTTGCACAGCTTGCTGTGAGCCAAGGTGCTTCCCCCAAAATTGGACTCCTTGAAACTTAGTCCCTGGACTTAACTCAGAAGATTTCACACCTTGCAACTGTGGTCTGGGATTGAACAGAATAGATTTCATACCTTGAGATTCTGACCCAGGGTTCAATTCGGAGGGCTTCATGTCTCGTATCTGTGGCCCTGGATTCAAGTTGATAGAATTTATGCATTGAAATTCTGACTCTGAATTCAACCCAGAAGAATTCATACCTTGCAGCTGTGGGCCAGAGTGGAACTCCTTTGGTGTTATATCTTGAAATTTTGTCCCTGAAGTCAGTTCACATTTTACATCTTGTAAATGTTGCGCAGAGCTGAACATAACAGATTTTATACTGTGAAGCTCTGGCCCTGGATCCAACTCAGATTTCATAACTTGAAATTTTGACCCTGATTTTACACCTTGCAAGTGTGGCTCAAGTTTGCACTCCATAGAATTTACGCATCGTAACTTTAGCCCTGGATTCAACTCAGAAGAACTTGCACACTGCACCTGTGGCCCAGGGTTGCATTCCAAAGGTGCTACACGTAGAAACTTTGACCCTGGTGTCAAATCAGATTCTAAATCTTGCAAACATGGTCTAAGGTTGACCATTAAAGATGTCTTGCTTTGAATTTTTGTCCCTGGGTTCAATTCAGAACACTTCATACCTTGAAGTTTTGAAACCGAAGTTAATTCAGGAGATTTCATACCTTGTAAATATGGCTCTGTGTTGCACCCAATAGAATTTACACACAGAGCTTGTGGCTGTGGCATTAATGCAGAATTCACACCTTGCAAATGTGGCCCTGGGCTGCACCCAATAGAATTTTCACTCTGAAGTTTTGGCCCTGGAATGGGTGCAGAGGAATTTACACCTTGCAAGTGCAGCCCAGGATTGCACCCATTAAAATTTACACACGGAAGTGGTGGCTCTGGAGTGAGTGCAGAAGAATTCACACCTTGCAAATATGACCCAGGGTTGCACCCATTAGGATTAACACTCTGAAGTTTGGGCCCTAGAATGGATGTGGAAGAATTCACACTTTGTGGATCTGGCCTAGAATTATACTCAATAGAATTTATACCCTGAAGTGGTGGTTCTTGAATGGATACAGAATAATTAATACCTTGCAAGTTTGACCCAGAGTTGAACCCATTAGAACTTACACACTGAAGTTTAGGGCCTGGAATAGATGCAGAAGAATTTACACCTTGAAAACATGGCCCACGGTTGCACACAATAGAATTTGCACACTGAGGTGGTGGCTCTGGAATGGATGCGGAAGAATTCACATCTTGCAAATGTGGTCCAAGGCAGAACACCTTAGATTTCATACCTTGAAGCTCAGGCCCAGGATTAAACTTGGCAGATTTTATTCCTTGCAACTGTGGCCCAGGGTTGAAATCTAAAGATTGTATACCTTGAAGCCTTGTTCCAAAGTGCAACTCAGATTTCACACCTTGCAACTTTTCCTGAAGATTGAATTTCATAGATTTTACATCTTGAAGCTTTGTCCCTGTACATAATTCTGAAGGTTTCCTATATTGCAAATGTGGCTCAGGATCGAATCCCATAGATTTAACACTTTGAAGGTCTGGCCACAGATTCAATATATGAGATTTCTCATCTTGCTGCTGCTTTTCAGTATTGAACTCAGAAGGTGCCACACTGTGAATCTTTGATTCCAAGGCCAACTTAGAGAGTTCTGCAACTTGCAATTCTGGGTCATCGTTGCCTTCTGTAGAGTTCACTGTCTGAGGCTTTATCAACCCAGATTTCATATCTTGCAACTTTGCCCCAGGATTGAATTCTACAGATTTCACACCTTGATGTTGTATCCCTGGTGTCGACATAAATAATTTTCTATCTTGTAACTGTGAGGTTGAGTTTAACCCCAACGAAGTCCTATCCTGTACCTTTGTACCTAGCGACAATTCAAAACATTTTACATCTTGCTGCACTGGCCTAGGCATGAGCCCCACAGATTTCACTGTTTGAAGCTTTGTCACTGGGATCTCTTCAGAAGATTTCGTACCTTGTAATTGTGAATCAGAACTGAACTCCTTAGATTTTACGTCTTGAAGCTCTGTCCCCTTGATTGAGTTATGATATTTCACATCTTGCCACTGTGGGCCTGAGTTGAACTCCACAGATTCCCCACCTTGAAGCTTTGTCTCTGGGGTTAACTGAGAAGATGTCACACCTTGTAACTTTGGACCATGGTTGTAGTCTACAGATTTTACATCTCGATAGTTTGTTCCTTGAATCAACTCAGAAGATTTTTCACCTTGTATCTGTTGTCCAGAATTGAAATACATTGATTTCATACTTTGAAGCCTTGTCCCTGAGGTTACCTCAGAAGATTTTATACCTTGAAAGTGTTGTCCAGAACTGAGCTTCACAGATTTTACATCTGGAAGCTTTATACCCATGATCAGATTGGAAGATTTTATATCTTGTAACTGTGGGCCTGATTTCAGCTCTACAGATTTCACACCTGGAGACTTTCTCCCCAGGGTCAAATCAGATTTTTCACTTTGTAACTTTGGACTAGGTTTGAAGTCTACAGGTTTCACACCCTGAAGCTTCACCCCTGGAATCATTTCAGATGATTTCACACTCTGTAAATGTGGTCCAGAACTGAAAACGATAGATTTAATGTCTCGAAGCAGTATACCCATGATCGACCTAGAAGATTTCAAATCTTGCAACTGTGGGCCTGAGTTGGATTCCACTAACTTCACTTCTTGAAGCTTTGTCTTTGATATCGACTCAGAAGATTTCACTCTTTGCAACTGTGGCCCAGGTTTGAAGTCTGTAGATTTGACATCTTGAATCTTGGTCTTCATGGTCAAATCAGAATGTGGGATATTTTTCAACTGTGAGCTGGGGTTTAACTCTATAAATTTCATGTCTTGGGACTTCGTCTTAGGGTTCAACTTAAAAGATTTGACACATTGCCATTGTGGCCAAGAGCTAAACTCCTCAGATTTCATACCTGGAAGCTTTGTCTGAGCCAACTCGGATGATTTCGTGCTTTTCAAGTGCAGTAAGAAGTTGAACCCTACAGTTTTATCACTTTGTAATTGTAGCTCTTGGCTTAATACTTTAGATTTCACCCCTGAAAACTGTGACTCTTGTGTAAACACTAGAGACTTCACATCTTGCTGCTGTGTTCTTGGATATGCCTGCAAATGTTTCACTTTGTGCCGCTGTGGTCTTGGGGTCAACTCAGAAGATTTCACATCTTGCAAATGAAGCCCAGGTTTGAATGCCATAGATTTTATATCACAGAGCTTTGATGTTAAAATTGGGCCACATGACTTCACACTTCTCAACTGTAACCCAGATTTCAAATCAATAGTTTTGAACACTGGCACCTGATGTTTCTGGAGTGATGTCAAAGGTGGTACACTGTGGAGCTTTGGCCTTGGAGTCAACTCAGATGACTTCACATCTCTTAGTTGTATTGAAGTTTTCAGTTCTATAGGTGTGACAGCTTGAGATTGTGAACCACATTTTAGCATAGATTTCATACCTAGGAACTCAGGTACTGGTATCCACTGCACAGATTTCACACTTCCAAGCTGTGAGTCTTGGTTTAACTCCACAGTTTTTACCCCCTTAAGCTGTGGCTCTGAGGTTGATGCCAGAATTTTCCCTTTCGGCAACTGTGGTCCTTGGGACAACTTAGGAGTTTTCACAAATTGCAACCATGGTCCATAGTTAAACTCCACAGGTTTTGCACTTCGAATTTTTGGCCCTAGAATCAATTCAGATGATTTTACACCTCCTGACTCTACGGAGGATTTCGACTCTGCAGGTTTGACACCTCGAGATTGTGAACCAAGATTCAGCCCTCCAGTTTTTCCATCTTGGAACTCAGGACCTGGTATGCACTGCACAGATTTTGCACTTCCAAGCCGTGAGTCTTGGTTTAACTCCACAGTTTTCACACCTTGAAGGTGTGGCTCTGGGCTTGATGCTGGACTTTTCCTTTTTTGCAGCTGTGGTCCTTGAGACAACTCAGCAGCTTTCACACAGTGCACCTGGGACTCGAGGTTAAACTCCATAGATGTTGCACTTTGAAGTTTTGGCCCTAGAGGCAGTTGAGATGACTTTACACCTCCTGACTCTATGGAAGATTTCAACTCCGCAGGTTTGACAACTTGAGATTGTGAACCAAGATTTAACCCTGTAGGTTTCACACCTTGGAACTCAGGTCCTGGTATCCACTGAACTGATTTCACACTTCCAAGCTGTGAGTCTTGGTTTAACTCCACAGTTTTCACACCTAGAACTTGTGGCTCTGAGCCTGAAGCCAAAACTTTCCCTTTTTGTAATTGTGGTCCAGCAGACAACTCAGGGGCTTTTACACACTGCAACTGTGCCCCAAGGTTAAACTGCATAGGTTTTGCACCTTGAAGTTTTGGTGCTAGAACCAATTTAGATGCTACCATATCTCCCAACTGTAAGGAAAGTTTGTACGCTGCAGATTTGACACTTGGAGATTGTGGCCCAAGATTTAATCCTACGGATTTTACACCTTGGAACTCAGGTCTTGTTATCCACTGAACAGATTTTCTTCTTCCAAGCTCTGGCTCTTTGTTTAACTCCATGATTTTCACACTTTGAAGCTGTGGCTTTGCAGTTGAGCCCAAAGGTTTCGCTTGGTGCAACTGTGGTCCTGGAGTCAACTTGGGACATTTCAGACTTTGCAACTGTGGTTCATGTTTGAACTCTTCAGCTTTTACATCTTGCATATTTGGTTCTGGAGTCAACTCAGATGCTTTTCTACCTTTTGACTGTGGGTCAGACTTGAGGTCTACAGATTTTATACCTTCAGATTTTGACTCTGGAATTAACTCCAAAGACATTATACCTTCTGACTCAGACCCTCTCTTTACTTGCTCAAAATTCACACATTGCTGCTCTAGTGAGTTTACAGATTTCTGACCATCCTGTTCTGGCTCAAGGGTTAAATCCACAGGTTTTACTTCTTCAAACTCTTGTCTTCTGGTTACAGTCACAGATTTTACTACCAGTCTCTTCTGCCTTGGTGCAAGCTTTACAGATTTTACACATTGCAGATGTGGATCTTGAGTCTCCTTTATAGATTTTAAACTTTGAAGCTTTAAACGTGGAGTAATCTCCACAAATTTCATATCTTGCATTTGTGGGACTGAAGTCAGTTCCTTAGGTTTCATGCTTTGTAGCTGAGGCCTTTGAAGCATCTCCATAGATTTAACCCCTTGAGGCAATGGCTCTGGTGCAAAAGCCATAGGCCTCTCACCTTGCATCTTTAGCCCAAATTTTAATTTCACAGCTTTCATATCGTGCAGCTGTGTATCTGGAACCAACTCCGCAGATTTTACATCTTGAAGCTCCGAATCAGGGATGAATTCCACAGCTCTGACATCTCCTCTCTGTGACTGTAAGCTTATTGCCACAGATTTCCCACCTTCCTGCTGTGGACTTGGAGTTATTTCCATAGATTTCATCCCTTCCAGGCATGGTCCTGGAGTTAAGGTCACAGATTTCATATCTTCTAACTGTGACTGTGAGACCAGTAACTCAGATCGGAGCTTTGAGCCTGGGGTTACCTCCTCAAGTTTTACACCTCCTGCCTGTGGCTCTTGGGTTAACATGATAGATTTGACATCTTCCAATTCTGGCTCTGGTGTTAGCTGCCTAGTTTTCATATCTCCCAAATGTGGCCCAGGGACTAATTCCACAGATTTCATATCTTCTAGCTGTGGCTCTGGGGTTAGCTTTTCATATTTGAAACCTTGAAGTTTTAAGACTAGGCTCTCCTCCACAGGATTTACGTCTTGGAACTGTGGTCCTTGTGTCAATCCAGAAGATATCCTATCTTGTAACTGTGGTTTTCTGGTTAACTCAGAATGATTTACACGGGGCAGCTGTGGTCCTGGAGTCAACCCCATGGATTCTGCATCTGGCATTTGTGGCTCTGAGATTAATTTACTGGAAACGTCAGCTTTAAGGCTTGGCACTTGATTGCCTACTACATATTTTACATCTTGAAACAGTGGCTCTGGTACTAACAACTGAGGATTAACCCCTTGCCCCTCTGGCCCTGGAGCCATTGCCATAGGTGGTACCCCTTGCATCTTTGGCCCTGGGGTCAACTCTAAAAATTGTACACATTGTAGCTGTGGTCCTGAGTTTAACTCTAAAGATTTCACACCCTGAGGTTGAGTTCCTGGTACTAAATCAAAAATTTTGACATCTCGTAGCTGCAGCTCTCGGTTAAGCCCTTCCTGTTTCATGCTTTGAGTTCCTTGAGACATCTTTGCTAATGTGGAATCTTGCAGCCCTAACTCTGGAACCACCTCTACAGAATTCACACTATGAACCACTGATCCTGCAGTTTGATCCCCAAATGTGACACCTTGCAGCTTTGGCCTTGAAGTCAATTCAGAAAATTTGAGATTTTGCCAAGGCCCTAGGTTTACTTCCTCAGATTTTGCACTTTGAACTGGTAGTTCTGAGGTCAGTTTTGCAGATTTCATCCTGTGAAACTGTGATCCTTCAGCAGACAGAACAGATTTCATGTCTTCAACATGTGGCCCTTGGCTTAACTGCAAAGACGACTGTGGCATAAAACCTGGAGACTTTATATCTTCAGGCTGAGTTCCTGGTGTCATCTGCACCTGTTTGAAACCTTGGTGCTTTGACCCTGGGATCGAATCAGAAAATTGACATCTTGCAAGCCTAGTCCTGGGTTTAGCTCCACAAATTTCACACCTTGAGGTTGTGTTTCTGGAGTCAGCTGTACAAATTTGACACTTTGGGGTGTTAGGTCTGGGATGAAATCTGATGATTGATGTACTGAACTGGGGAATCCGAGGTCCGTTCATCCGATTTTGCACATAATGTAGGGGTTGTGAGATTAAATCTACAGGTTTTTCTCCTTGAAGAAGTGGCCCTGTAAATTACCTTTGAAAACCTGACACTTTGTGACTGTGGCCCTGGGGTCAATCCAGATTTGACACTTGGCTGACATGGGCTAGATTTAAATCCACAGAGTTTACATCTTGGAGCTCTGCCCTCTTAGTCAAATCCTCCAATGGCATACTTTGTAGCGTAGATCCAGTATCATCTCCTCTGGATTTTCCCACTCCTGTAGTTGACTGTTGGATTAAATTCACATGTTTTGCGTCTTGGCAACTGTGACTCTAGATCCAACTGCATAGACTTTCCTCCCTGGACCTGTGGCCCTGGGGTCAGGTCCATAACATGTGGTTTGGTTCTGTAATTAACTTTTTAGATCCTATCACTATGGAGATGACTCACTGGTTAACTCTGCAGATTTCAAATATTGCAGTAGTGGCTCTGATTTCTCATACTGCATATCTGGTCCTGGAGTCAACTCCAGAACTCCTGTTTCTGAATCTAGTGGTAGTGGGATAACTCCCTGGGTCTTACCAACTTGAGGCAATGCCAACCCCACAGTTTCTGGGTCTTTATGTTCTGAGGTGGGGGGTGTCTCTGACAACTCAGTAATTTCTAAGCATGGCCCTAGATTGCCATGAACAAACTTCATATCATGGGGCTGTTGCTCTGTGGTCAACACTTCTAATTTCACACTTTGTATCTCTGATCCTGGTATCAAATCTGGAGATTCTTTTGTTGTGTGTTGTGATACTGGAGTTTCCCCCATTGCTTTTCCAAGTTGGTGCATTGTCTCAAGAGTGTCTTGGAATGACATTGAGCTCATCTCCACAGATTCTGAAGTTTGACTCAGTGGCCCTGGAGTAGTTCCTAAAGATGGTTGGGTCAACCCAATAGATTTTTCCACTTGATGTAATGGTGCTGAGATCACTTCCGATGACTTTGTGCCTTGACATATTGGCCCTGGAATAGTCTTTCCTTGACTTTGTGATCCTGAGGTCATGTCAACTGATTCCATGACTTTATGCTGTGGCGCTGGCATCATTTCCACAGTTTCCATAACTGCACGTTGTGGCCTTACATTCATCTTTTCTGGTTTTGTGACTTGATGCTTCAATATTGTGTTCATCTTCACTGACTCTATGGCTTGATGTTGTGGTGTTGAAGTCGTTCCCACTAATTCTGTGTGTGGATATTTGTTAATCATCCCCATAGAATCCATAACTTGAAGCAGTGCTACAGGAGTTGCTTTCTCATTATCTGTGACTTGATTCAGTAATCTCGTGGTCATCCTCTCTGATTCCACAACTTGGTGCTTTGGCCTTGGGGCTGCCTCCATTGACTGGATGACTTGATTTGGTGGTTTGGGGGTTATGCTCATTGTTTTCATAGTTTCCATTGGTTTCACAACTTGACTTGGCAGCTGTGAACAAACCACAGATTCTGAATGTGCTTCTGGGATCATCGCCATTGACTCTATGGCCTGAAGTAATGCCAATGGAGTTACCTTTATGCTGTCCTTGACTTGATATGGTAGACTTGGTGCCACGTCCACATTAGTCACTTGTGTCTTGTGCTGCTCTATGCTTTTTTCTGGAAAACCTATGACCCTCTTCTCTATACTAAGCTCTAGTATGTGTTTTGGCTCTTTCTTCAGTAAAGCGGTTCCTCTTGAGTTACATTAAGTCCTAAACTTCTTGGAGGTAGAGTGCCACTGATGTAACGAAAGGCTTGGATCCAAGGATTTGGGGGCCATCCCCAGGTTGTAACTGCTTGCCTGAGATAAGTGACTGTGAAAGTTTTGTTTCTGTGCTATTTGTTCCAGATCCCACTCAGCATTCACATGAAGTGGAAATGATGGAAGGTCTGGGGAATTTTTTTAATGTTTGCTCATGTTTTGATGAATGGGCATAGATAACTGAGTTTGGAGTTTATTTGATTCAGCGACTCCTCTTTGTACTTCAGTTAAATAATTGAACATCGCCCATGATTTCCTCACAGGTAAAGGTACCATTTGTTGCTGCAAAGAGAAAGCCTTCTGAGATATATGTCTTTTTAGCTTTCTTCTAACGAAGGAGAGAGCTTGAATGGAGCCCACCTTGGGAGTTGTGGTCTCTCCCTGGAAACAGAATTTGGCTCGTGATCTGATATCAATGACTCTTGCTCCTTCTCTCATCTTTTTTTTCCCTTTTCTGTTTGCAGATATTTAGAGGCTCAGAAATAGAGTTGAATAAAAGGGCTCTGAGTTGTAAGGTGAAAGTCTGTCAAATTCTGAAAAAGTTGGATTTTTGGGGCTCTGATAGCTGAA